AACCTATTTAGGGGAAGAGCTTTTTGAGAAATGGTGGGGCCACAATTGCAAAAACGTTTATTCAGAGGTATAACTGCAAAGTAGAATAGTTAAACACATATATGGTAATGGCATCATCTCCTATTAAAAGAAATCAAGGCAACAATAATTTCCCACTTCTATCACCAACCTGAAGTTAAAATATTTACAAAGTAAATCTTCTGCCAACAGTCCTGAAAACACGATCGTATTCCAGTCAAAGAAAGTTCATTAAAGTCTTTTACCTCTTGAGTTGCTATTTTACGATTTAGTTCAGCTACTTTGGAAGAAGAATTTTCTACTGCATTTTGGCAAAGGAGTTTCTCTACTTCCCTCTGATGAGATGCTTTGAGAGATGTGATGTGCGCTGCAGTATCTTCCTTGAACCTTTAGAGCAAATGAAAGAAAACCACACATAAAAGTGGCTCTTCAACCTCCAATTCAGAGTTCGCACAAAAATAGCATAAGAAGCCTGGAAATTAGAGAAGCAAAGGGAGAGAAGGCACCAGTATCTAGGGCACTGTGCTTAGTGCGCTACTGCCATGAGTTCTTACAACCACTCCCTGGGCTCACACGTATCTACTCCATTCTGTACGGGCAAACGTTGAGTTTAGGAATTGAGTGATAAGTCTAGGGTCTCAGATCAGTAAGCTACAGAGCTGGTACTCAAAGCAGGTATTTTTCTCAAACCAGATATTTAGTAAATTTGATAGTGATTAATATGGTAATTCCCAAACTACAAACAAATATATCAGTTGCTTATTTGACAATATGAATAATTCTTCACTGAAACAGTGTGATTAGGGTCCTAGGAAAAGCATAAAAATCTAAAGCATCCATGAGATAACTGAACCATGTAAAAAGCAGCCTAAATCTGGGACTAGGAAAAGTTACTTTTTACTTCTCAGGTCCAGAGCTGTCTGAAAATCAGATTAAGGATACTAAAAAATTATAAATTCTGTATAGGAAAATTTATAGGAAAAACCTAAATTTTAAATTATTTCTAGGAAAGAACATTTTCAAATAGGAAGATATTTCCAAATAGCTTCATGACTACTATCACAATCAGGACTAAAGAAACAAAAGTTTCAAACTGGAAGCAATATGGCTGCCATGACGACTCAATCCGAGTGGCTGCGAATCAACCAATAAGCATTTGCTAGGTGCTTCCTACAGCTGCTCTGGTAGGAGCCCTGCTTTCTGCCAGGTTCTGCCTCTTCCTTCAGGTACTTGTTACATATTCTGATGTTTCCAACTCTAGGTTCCTTATGTCGGTCACATGTATTGAAATCCTAATGTTTGAAGGGCAATGGTTATATATATTGTCAATATATGTTGTAGGATTCCATAATACGTTACTTGATAAACATTAAACTACACGTGTTTTTGTACAGCCCAAAGCTTATTTTAAACCTCATAATCACACCTATTACTTCCTATAGATTGCAAAAGAAGTATAGTCTGACATCAGTTCTCAAGGAGCTATTAAGTGGTGTATGATTCATGCTTTCTTATGTAAGTTACACAGGAGCTGGAGGGAGGAGCAGGAAGTTTCTAGGAAGCCTGAGGTAAGATTTTTCCTAGAAAATGAAACACAAACGGGCAAAAAGCAATGAAGACATTTGGCAAGTAATCTACTCTAATAAAGCAGGATTAGAATGGTGATGGGACTTGAGGTGACAGAGAAATTCAGTCCTGATACTTCAAGAAGTTGGGAGTCACTGGAGGGTTGAGTGACTCAAACACAGGAACATTTAAAGAATATTCACGGTTTTTAAGCAAGATGGCTGGGGAGATGAGGGTGAGGAAACTGCCTAGTAAACCAGGAAAACCACACTACAGGAGGAAGAAAGCAAAATAAATACTTACAAGGAAGCACCCCAGAGACTGTGAACCCAAGGAATGAAGGAGGTAAAAGCTGAGCCTGGCAATCGAAAATATATGGTCATAGACAGAGATGGGGACATTGGGAGGGGGAGCTAGTTTACAGGTAAGAGAGACAGTTTGAGATACTACTGATTCCAAGAGAAACAATCCAAAAATTCTTAGACTTAACATCTGAACTCAGGGAAGAGAACAAGCCTTGAAGAGTAAATCTATGAGTCATGGTTCACAGAAGCTGTAAGAACGGATGAGTGTGGCCATGGAGAAAGACAGAAAGCCAAGATCTGGACTTCGGCAGAAAGTCAGATTTTGGAGGAGGGAGGATGGAAGAGTCAGGAGTCAGTTAAAAGGAGCAGAAAAGATGCTTTGGTCAGAGCTGCCAAGTCATGGAGGTTAAGGGAGGAAACCACTGCGGGAAAGGGAGTGTGGTCAACAAAGTCCCGGAAAATGAGGATGGAGACCACTCCACTGGCCGAGAAAGACCAGCTGCCGAGAGGCCAGGGTTCAAAAGAGTGAGGCGGATGGGCTGTGTTTAGAGGAAGTGAGGTGGGACCAAAAGGAGGCTACTTGTGGGAAACCGGAAAGAAAAGGCAGAAAGAGGCCTAGAACTTGGTTTGATCGGGTGGAAGACATCTGAGTAAATCAACCACACTTCAGTAAAAAAAAAAAACAATAAATGATGTTAAAAACAGTTAATCTGAGCATGTGAAAGGGCTCAGAGCAAAGAGACAGGAGGGAGTACTTGCAGATTCTGAGACGGAAAGTTAAACAAAGTTCAACAAAGGCATGAACAGATGTGATCACGATTAATTTGCAGAGTTATTCTGGAAAAGAGGACATTTCCTCTTATAACGTCAACTAGTTTTAGTACACTGTCTTCTGACAGCCATCTGCCTGCGGCAATAATAAAGGATGATACTCGATTTGCAGGAAGGCCCAACGGGCCAGCTTCCTAACACCACTGGGACGCATGCAGAAAGATAAGACTGGTCTGTGCAAGGACTGGGTTGACATGGAGATTCAAGTTCATCAGAACCTAGGCTTCCAACAGGGAGAGGATCCAACTGAACCAGATCGCTGCTTAGCAATGTAATAGTTTCCTCAACTTTAGTTATGAATTTAGTTCAGGATCAAACTAATATCTAGGAGAAATGTATCTTACAACCTTTACATTTTTATCTTTTTATGTCCCCCTGTGTTGACACATTCACATTCTTACCTTTTCATGGAGTTTTCAAATTGGCTCACTGCTACGTCGGATTTCATCTTCAGCTCATTCCTCTCCTCAATTAATCTCTCCAGTTCATTTTTCAATCTGCAGTTTTCTTGTAAAACCTCTGAAACATGGGAATCAGTGAAAGTCTGTGGTTGGTAAAGCTTGTCCTCTAGGGCCCCAGAGAAGGAGGCAGCGTTTCCTTTACCTGGGTGCAGAGCATCTCTCTTCACCCTTTTCGCAGTCATCTCCTCTCTACCCTTAGAGTTCTGACTGGAGAGCATGGTTCTTCTCTCCCTCTGAAGCCTCTCCACCGTTTTTGAAAGGTCCTGTATCTCTCTCCCCTTGGCCGCCAGCTCCTCATTGAGTCTGGCCAGTTTAGCTTTAGAATGAGCCTGCTCCACCTGGAATTCTATAGACTGGAAATCTTTACCATCCTTAGCATTTTTCTTGCGTTCCAATTCAGCATTCTGATGTTTAAGAGCATCGATTTCAGCTTCAAGGTTTCTCACGGTGATCTGATGGGCTTCCTTAATGTCGTCGAGTTCCTTCTCTAGAGCTTGAACCCTGGAGGAGTTGTCATGTTGGTTCTGGGCTGCCTCCTTCAATTTGCAGGCAAGTAGCTGCTCCTGCTCCTCCAGTCTCTGTTCATACTGAATCTGAAGAAAAGACTGCACGTAATGCCAGACCACTGCTAACCACTTCATTAGTTACCCACGCCCCGTGTCCTCCCGGGGCCTGCCTCTTCCTTCCCTCAGGCACTCACCGCATATTTTGACCTCCCCAACTCCATGTTTCTCGAGTCGGTCAAATATGCTCAAGTCCTAATCTTGAAGGGCACACATACTGTTATATATTCTCAGTGTATGTTATATAATTTCATAATTATATGGTGCTTTGTAAACATTAGATGACACATTTTTGTATACCGAAACTTATTTCAAACCTCACAAGCAAACCTATTATCGTGTACCCTTCTCTATGCAAACTGACAAACCATACTCCTCGAGGATAAATAAGGAAAGCAACTGGGATTACTGATGTCTGTAAGAAACAGTACATTTCCAACTTTCTAACATCAATTTAGGAATCTCATACGGAGTAAGTCAGCTCAGAATTTGCATACTGGAGCTTTAGTATTTATAAGTGAAATAACCTAACAGTGTACTCCGTGGAGGGAAGTGTGACAGAGTTCTGTTAGTCCATTCAGTGAATATGTACTGAGCTGTAACTGCATGCCAGGCACTGTGTCGGACTCTGGAGACACACTCAGCTCTGCCTGCACACACTTCACGGCCTGGGGAGAGTGCGCCATAGCAACCGTTCCAATGCCCTCTGACAACGGTGATGACAGGCCAGGAACATGGCGCAGAGGGGACAAGGCACCTGAATGTGTCTGGAGGCCCGAGGGAATGTGGGAAGACAGGGTGAAGAGAGCACACTCAAGTTCAGCCTTGAGGGGTGAGTGTGAATCTGGGGTGAGTGGAAGCAGGGACATTTTGGAAGCAGGAAGAGCACATGCAAAGGCATCTGAATGCTCAGTGTGTCCTGGGAACCAGACGTGAAAGGAGGAAGTGGCAAAAGTGAGCAGGGGCAGGAGGGGGAGTAGGGCAGGACTGGAAAAAGGGAAAAGGTAGGTAGGTGTAGAAGGATAAAAAGGGGGGTTTGGAATTCATTCCTTTATTGGTCAGTGAAATAGTACTAGTAACTGTAATTATTATAATTGTTTACTGAGTGTTTGCTACACTTCAGACATGGTACCAGGGCTCTGCAGGTACTCAGCCTCAATCCTATGAGTTAGAGATGAGTTAATTAAAATATTTATTGAGCATCTGCTCTGTGCCAGGATTCTGCTCAGTGATGGAATCAAAAAGTGAGCGAAAGCAGAACAGTCCCAGCCATCATGAAGCCCAGAAGCTGGATGGGGAGAGAGATCAATGAACACGGCCGGACATGCGGAGACTGCAGTGGAGGAGAGGCGCGTGGGGCCGTCCGCTTACCGGGGAGGCCAGGGGTTTTCTGGGGAAGCAACACTTGTGTTGAGAGTCAAAGCTAGGAAGGCCCTCACTGTGGAAGAGGAGTGCAGGGGACACTGGGCAGAGGCTGCAGAGCACACTCATGTTTGTGGCCGTAGGAAACATGGCAAATAGGAGAGACAGGTCAATGGATTGGACAGAGGAAGCCTGGTGTGAGGAAACACTGGAGAGAAAGGAGGGGCCTGGCTGTCCATGGGTTTATAGGCTATTTCTTTATCCTAAGTTATTTGAGGGGTATAAACAAAGGGGTGTGTGTAAGACAGAGAGAGATGAAAATTCTGACTTCAGTGTCAAAAGCTGATGAGTGGACGGGATGAAGTGGATAGGCCAGGAGGTTATGCCAGTAATTCAGGCCATGTAGTATTAATGATGGCGGTAGAGTGACACGGTGATTAAGAGGAACAGAGGAATTGAAAGAAATTTAGGAGTAAAAGTGGTGTAACTGGCAGTAAGTCAGTTACTATCTCTCTCACATATGAGGAGACTGTGGCTCAGAGAGGTTAATTTGTGGAAAGTCATGGAGCTATAAATGGTGAAACTAGGCCTGGACTGAAGTGTCTGTAATACGGGGTAAAATATCTATTTCTCTTGGGTGATTGGAAGGAGTACACAGGATGAACTAGAATTTCTGAGAAAGCGTCTAGCATGAATTACTGCAGAAACTGTGCACTCAATACATTTTTTTAAGTAAATTACATATAATGCCCTGTTTCATATTTGGTCACACCAGCACCTGTATTTTCTGATTCACTCCTGATCAAGGATCAGAAAACTCATACAGGAAGACAGTTTCAGCAGACACTGCCCTGCCCCCTGCTCTGCCCCAGAAACACAGTCTTCTGTCTCATCTCGTTCCCTCTCCCTTGTCTGGGTGAACTGCAGAAAAGTATTTTCAACCATAGTACTTAAAAAAATTATATTTAATGCACATTAGCGGTGTTTTACTCTGCCCTTTCATGACTTAATTTCCACTAAGTCTAATATCATTGAGAGGGGCTTATGTAAAGATTATCCTATGCTCGAGTATTATGTGTTCGAAACAGAAGTCACTGAAGGAAGACAGGAGGGCTCTAGGCTTCTTTTTCATCTATTGACACTTGTGGTAAAGGTTTTGTGGGAAAAGCTATTTAGAGCTATTTGTTAAAATGAGATCTAAGAAGCCCCCAACCCCCACGATGCACCTCTGAGCCCCACCTCCAAGGCTACCAGGCGCTCACCTTCATTTTCTGAAACTGCTGTTCCATGGTACGAAGACTTTTCTTTGCTTCTTCATCTCTGCCCTCCAGATCAGCTTCTAGTTTTTTTATCCTTTTTTCCATAAATTCCACCGTATTTCTATCCACTGTATCACCAGCGGCTGATGCAGCCAGTATTAAAGCAGGTAAGGAATTGGGATATCTTCTCTTCAGAATTCCTTCCATTTCTTTAACCTATTAAAATATTTTTGTATACAGGTAAGGTCACAAATATTTTAAAATTAAGCAGTTTAATATATAAACTTAGATTATGCTGTAGCCAGGTCTAGATTTCAAAGAGATGTTTATATCACATCTCAAGACTGAATCAAATGCACAGTAGCCCAAATTAATTTCAGATTTCATATCCTAGATTATCTGATCAAACAACACTATAGCATGAAATCTAATTTAATACTGGTTAATTTACAGAAATCTTCTTATATTTATGTGAAATAGATCTTATTATACTAGTATTAACCAGTTTTTTTGAGGACAAAGCTCTTTCCCCTCCCTTTCTTCCACAGACCCCTCTCAGATAATAGTGTTTATCTATTGACTGAAAAATTACTTATATCCACATGGATGTGCACAATTTTTGTAATAAACGTATGGCTTCCTAAGCACCTGCTCCCACCTGCAACAGTCCTCCCATCCCAACCCTCCTCCAAATAAAGTTTAATCTACTTTAAAATGACTTCTTTCAATTAGGAAGCAAAGAGGATTAAATGACATTAAATGAAGTCTTCATAAAAACTGCTTTTCACTTAGTCTATTAAACAATAACATATTACATGATCTTTCTGTAATTCCATTCTACATGATTCTCTTAAAATCATCTAGTGGAGAAATAGTTCCTTTGGGGTTTTCTCTCTCACAATTCTGGATGGCTTCTTCTACGTGGGCTAATTTGAGCCTTAAGCACTGAAAAAGAAGCCAGGCAATCCTGGACTATAGTTATTTTGGAATATTTCTAGCTCTTCAAACCCCCTTTGTTCTGTTCCTTTCCTGGCCACTGAACCAAAATACCAAATCATACCTTTTAATATAACAGGTCCTGTAATAACAAAGCTAATTTTTGCTTAGTTTTCCTTCTTCTCATAAAACTGGGATAATATTCAGCCCACTGATGACCTCACAGTTCTAGGTGTGTGATGGAATAATAGCGGTGTGTTTCAGTGTCACGACGTGACCACAGCATTGTGTTCCTTTATGAAGGGCTGGAAATTCTAATTTTGTTTCAGTATTTAGTTACGAATACAAACATTACATTATAGAAGGTTTCAACAACATAAGGAAAAAGTTAATTAATATTCCAGCCTACAAAACAACTATTTTAATGAAAAAAAATCTTTATCTTAATTAATAAGCATCACCATACGGTTTTTTAAAAGGTCCCCCAGCCACAGTGGCAATGAAATTAGTATTTCTAAGCCTAAACGGTGAGCAATAGCTCAAAGTTATGGCTGGCTCTCTGGGAGGCTGGCTGTTCTGCTTCCAGAGTGTCCTGCAAGACTTCCCCAGTGCTACTAACACGTCCCCAACCTGAGGATCTCCTTTCCTGTCCTGCTCTCTCACCTACCCTTTGTCAGGAGAAGGAATCCTAGCTCTACACCAGAGTTTTCAAGTTCTCTTTCCTTTTTCCTGGATGTCAAATAAGCTGGGATGCAAAATAACCTTTCATCAGTAGGTCTACCATCTAATGAGACACATTACTCTAAAAATTCTTCATGCATCAAGCCACAGATTATATAAAATGATGTTGTTTACTGCTTTTATTAATGTTCCTTTAAATAATGTATATCAGGCATATTTAAAGTAGGTATCATTCTATATTAAAATGAATAAATAAAAACAAGAATTTCCAGGTTGACTATATCCTGTAGGAACTCCTGAAACAAAAGAGAAAACAAAAATGCACTGTATATGAAATACCTTAATGAAAATTTATTCTGAACACATACTTGTCGTTCTAGATCCTGAATTTTTTTGGCATCAGCTGCTTTTTCTTTTAAACGAATCTTCTGCTGTATAGATGGATGTCCAGATTCGGCTTTCAGTTTCTCAACCTAGCAGTAAGTAAAGACCTTGTTGAGAAGCTGACTTCTGTTATTTTCTTATTGAAGTATAGTTGATTTATAATGTGTTAGTTTTAGGTGCACAGCAAAGTGACTCAATTATACATGTACAAATGTATGTGTTCATACATATATATATATTCTTTTTCAGATCCTTTTCCATTATAGGTTATTACAAGATATTCAATATAAGTCCCTGTGCTAAATAATAGGTCCTTGTTGTTTATCTATTTTATACATAGCAGTTGTATAGGTTAATCCCAAACTCTTAATTTATCCCTCCAAGAAGCTTATTTTGATTTGCCGACACTAACTACTATACATAGCATAGGCAATCAGTAAGTCTTTACTATACAGTACAGGGAACTGTATTCAGTATCTTGTAGTCACCTATAATGAAAAAGAATATGAAAAGGAATATATGTATGTATCTGTATGACTGAACTATTATGCTGTACACCAGAAATTGACACAACACTGTAAACTGACTACATTTCAATTAAAAAAAAGAATTAAAACATAGCAGAGAAACAGCAGGAGGGACACAAAATGGCAGTTTATTCATTCACTTATTTATTGCTTCCCAGAGAGGGCGCTGTGCTGCAGATACAGAGGGCAAACAAGCCAGATCCCTGCTTTCATGGTGTTTATGCTCTAATGGAAGGAGACAGTTGAGAAGCTAAAAAAGTAAGTAATATCAGAGAGTGACAAGTACCATGAAGAAAATAGGTGAAGGAATGAGAAGAGTCAGAGGGGGCGAGAGTGGTTGCTACATGAGATAAAGAGATCAGGAAAGACCATTCTGAGAAGTAGAAATCTGAGCTGAGACTTGAACAAGGAGGGAGATATGGGCCAAGGCAACAAGTGGGGTGAGCTCGCCTGTTCAAGAACCAGAGGGCGGTCTGGCGTGGCTGGAGGAGTGACTAGGGGAGTGTGGTACAGGCAGGATTCAGACCACGTGGGGACCTGACAGGCTGTGATATAAGGAGCCTGGACTTACAGTCATCCCTCGGTAACCACAGGGCAGGACTCTCCTCAGATGCCAACATCCATGGATGTCAAGCCTCTTGTATAAAACGGCATAATACTTGCACGGAACTTATTCACATCCTCCCGTATACTTTAAATCATCACTAGATTACTCATGATATCTAAGGCAATGTGAACGATATGTAAATAGTTGCCAGTGTGTGGCAAATTCAAGTTTTGCCTTTTGGAACTTTGTTTTTTTCCAATCTGCTGGATCGGGAACCCCTGGATATGGAGAGCTGACTGTATTCTCAGTTTAAAATAGACTACACAAATAAAAGCAAACTAAAACCAAATCAGCTGTTTTAATTAACAGAATTTAGAGTACTGATTCAATGACACAAGGCTAAGAACTGACTGTTAAACATAACAGAGTTCATCTACAGAAAACACATTCTGAAGTTATTTATTACCTCAAGTTTGAGCTTCTCAATTTCTTCATTTGCTTCTTTAAGTCGAACAGCATCTTTGTCCAGAAGTTCCTGATTTTCAGCATACCACTGTAATCTTTTCTGCAGGCGACTGATTTCTTGTTTATGTGTTTCTTCTAAAATTTTTATTTCATATAACTTTTCACCTATAAGATACAGTAACTCAATAACCCGACTGTAATTTTTCAAAATATGAAAATAACTAAAAGATTTTACATGAAAACCAATGCCTAACTAATGAAAGCATTATGAAAAAATAAGAGGCAAAAAAACAACTGAGGTATACAAGGTTGTGTCTAGTCTAGTGTGTTAGTGAAAGGAAGAAGACTGTGTTCATAGTCCCAATCCTCAAAGTTTGTATGATTTTATTTAACACAACAAATATATGATGGGAAGGATTATTATTATTCTACTTTGCAGACAAGGAAAGCAAATTTCTTAAAAACAGGTAAGTGGATTTTATTGTACATCTTACACTGAAGATCATAAAATCACAGAGGAAAGATCCTTACTTCGGCAAACAAGGGCTCCTCTGATGGACCTTTCCAGCCCTGTGTTCTGCCCGCCCACGATCCAAAATAGGTGCGATCAGTAACATGCCCATGAAACACACCTGAGCAGCCTCCCCCCACTCCTTTACCCCTGAGCCCCTCCACCTGTCAGGACCCAGCTCAAATGCCCCTCCTCCCTGAAGCCCTTACTAGCACCCTCCTGTTTATTTCTAATTTTTTTAATATTAAACTTTTCTGCATACTAATCTTACTTCTCCTTTGTCTTTCCCGGTGGGGAAGGCCATGTTCACCCTTGGGTTACGAGGATAAAGGCAGCTGCTGCAGTGCAGTGTGTTACCTGTGATGTAAGCAATCTGCTCTTTGGCTTGGTCCCTCTCTTTCTTCATTTTCTCCATGTCTACTTCGAGAGCTTGCTTGTCTTGCTTCAGTCTTTTGAGGTCTTCCAATAAACTGGTTTTTTCTTTCTTGACATTCATAGAAATACAGAAACAAATGACTTCTAACCATAACAGATTGTGGTAAAGGCTCTCTTTCATTCAATTCGTCATAAATACTGCTGCTCATTATTTTTCCTAAATTTAAGCTCGGATTTTATCACTGCCCCCTCCAAATGATCACGAGCTTCCCAGAGCCTACCAGAATCAGTTCTAGTCACATAACTCAACACAGCTTCAAAGCCCTTCCAATCTACCATTCTGCCTTCTGGATCACTACGGCCTCCTAACCAGTCTGCCTCTTCCACTCCCGGCACTACAGTCTGTCCTCCACATGGGAAGCAGACTAATTGTTCTGAAGAGTCAGTATCATTCCTCCATTTGAAACTCTCCGGTGGCTCCCTCTCTCTTAGGGTAAACCCAAAGTCCTTCCCATGACCTTCAGTGTTGCATAACCCAGTCTTGCCCGCTCCTCTGATGCATCTCCCACAATTCTTCCCCCTCCTGCTCCACTCCAGCCGCAGAGACTTCTTGGCTGTTCTTTGAACACACCTGGTGCATTCCTACCCCAGGGTGTTTGCACTTACTGTTTCCTCTGCCTACAGCTCTGCCCCCACAGAGCCAGGTGTCTCGCTCCACTCTTTCTCAGGATTTCTGCTCAGGTGAGGCCCTAGGAAGGCCTTCCCTGATCCCTCTTCCTAAAACAGCAGCCCCCATCCTGGCCCCAGGTGTGTTGCTTTATTTTCTTCTCAAAATACTCATCAGCACCTGACACAGAACGTGTTTACTTGAAAGCAGAACTTGATTTTGCTCATCCTTCTATCACAAATGCAAAAAAAAAAAAAAGCCTGGCACATTAGAAAAAAATAAAGTGGAAATCTCAATGTGCCCAACATTCCACACAACTTTCAATAGCCTCCTTCCTCTGCTTGACACAGTCATTCTCATCCTTCCAAGCTTAGTTCAAATGCAGCCTTTCCTGATAATCCCCTCCCCGGCACTGCCACAAACTTCCCATGTACCTCTAGCACAGCAGTCAGTGTTTTGTTTCATATGGCGCTGATTTGTGCACAGGCCTTTTCTCTTTAATAAGCTGAAAGCTCTTTGGGGACCGAGACTGATGTCACTACCCGTTTACTGTGTGGCACTAAGCAGAGGGCAGGTATTCAATAAACTCAACTCATAACGGCAGAAGAAACTCTTGGATTCATGGCAGTACACTTGGTATAGTTGTTTCAAAATAAAAATTGTTAGAAGTTCCGCATCACACTGCCTTATGATCTAAAATCCAATCTTACAAAGAAAATAAATCCTTCCATAAAGCCCTGGATAATCACAGTTTCCGGCTGCATCATTTCACTGTTGAATCTTCTGTGTGACCTTCTGTGGATGCCTTTTCAGGAGAGCACTGAGGTTCTTCAAGGTTTTACTGTGGAGACACACTCAAGGCTGCGCCTGCCTCTCTGATCTCATCGTCCACCACTCTGGTCCTGACTCATCCACTTCTGCCTCCGAGGCCTCTGCTTCTGGGAGGTACCAAGCCCACTCCTGACTTTCCCCTTGGCTAGAAGGCTCGACAGCTGCATGGTTAGCCGCTGCTTCTCTTCAGCTCCTGACGCAGACACGACTTGCTCAAAGAGCGCCTCCTCGACCACACCCAGTGCTCCTTACACTGCCCTGCCTACCGTTCGTCTGTATTCTCGTTTTCCTCAAAGAACTTACCTCCGTGAGTAACTCTTGTTTGCTTATTCCTTGTGTTCCCTGGGAGACTGTATGTTCCCAGTGAGCAAGGCCCAGGCCTGTCTCGTTACCTGCCGTTCTTCCAACACCAGGATGAGTTCCTGGCTGCCCGACTGAGCCGCGGGCAGCCCGTCCTCCTCCCCATCCCGGGGAGCTAGAAGGAAAGGGCTTAGGCCTTGGCTTTCAGTACGTGTCCACCCGAACTCACATCTTAAGACTGCACTAACTGGTATTCATTTTTAAGGTACAAATTAGACTGTACACAAGTAGGTTTGATATGAATATTACAGATTTAGCCAAGTATGAATTTTTGCTCTTAAACTATTTAAACTCAGAATGTCAAAGTGAA